TAGAGTGGGCGGGGCTAGGGTTATAGAGTGAGCGAGGCTCAGCCAGAGTGGGAGGGGCTATGTTAGAGAAGGCGGGGGCTGTGTTCGAGTGGGAGGGGCTAGGGTTATAGTGGGCGGGGCTATGTTAAAGTGGGCGGGGCTAGGGTTATAGAGTGAGCTCGGCTCAGCCAGAGTGGGAGGGGCTATGTTAGAGTAGGCGGGGCTGTGTTCGAGTGGGTGGGGCTCGGAGACTTCACGAGTCCAATTGGTTGAATGTCTGTCGCGAACACGTGCGTAGAGCGCCGCGCTGTGGATGAGCGGGTCTATGTCTGTGTGTGACCAACCTCGCTCAACTCCGGAGACGCCGCGAATTAACGATTCGATGACAAAAATATCGATTATTTACTTTTCATTAAATTTGTACCGTTTCGTGGATATACTTTATTAGGTTTTATTATCTGGACAGGGTTTGTCGCCTTGATTAGCCTCAATGCAATTATAGGAAATAATTTATATTAATCGTAAATGATGGACTATCATATTGATATAAGACTGTATATATAGTCGGCAACGTTTCGGCCAATGGCCCTTCTGCATAGCACATGAGTCCTAGACATATGACACGGGTCAGAAGCCTGCATGGGCATTCACCTACACGTGGAACAACAACTTTAATGTGCGTTAATAAGAGCGTAGAGGAGATGCATGTTGGGAATTGCATTTAGAGACAGAACGTAGGCACGCTCATGTGCATTGGAGAACATACGCATCTTGAATACAGCATAATACTGACCACCATGCGCCAATCTTGTGTCTCTAGCAGGTTTTGGGGGTGTTTTTTAAGGCTTATTTTGGCACAGGGATATCGCAGGGTCGGTCCCCTTGTGTACGGCTCAGAGTTCACTAGAAGGGAGAGTCTCAGAAACTTGCTGTACGATATCTCCTTCCGCAGAACCGTCCTCAAGTTTACAATTATCCGTATTGCTCGCGACGAGAGTTACAAAACGGATCCGCCCCGTGGCATGATACGACGCCCGATAGCGCAATTGGAGTAAAAAAAATTACACGCAAAAAAAATAAAACATCAAATCTCAAACCAACATCCAGCAACCAACCGCTCAATCACAATGCCAGCCTCCACGTTTTATTTTTTGTTCAAAATAGAATACGACCTCGCGCCTTCTCCACTTTGCTGTGCGCAGGGTGAGACCCGCATCAGCTCTGTGCCATCGTCACACGGAGCTAAGTGTGCGCGCTCGCACGGGAACACACCGGGCACGATGACATCGGCGACAAACAACGAAGCGATTATCCACATTCGATTATCCACATTCAATCGATCGACGAAATCGCCATCATCTGGCGGCGGGTGCGGCTACAAGGTTACGACCTGGCGTGCGACACTTGCGCTTAAACATTTGTTTTGATGCAAAGACGAAGATCCCCTCCACCCCCCCCCCCCCCCAGGGCTGCCTCCCTGTGTGGTCTCAGCGGCCTGTTGGGGTTAAGCGATGTGAGCAGAAACCACGCGCGGCCGTCTTTGTCTTCCCAGCGGCCACCTCCACCACCACCGCCGCCGCTCTCTCCACACCGCGACTACAGAAACTCATTTATGGCTGAGTCGACCCGAGAGGAGGCCCAGGAATGGGACCGGGTCCGGATATTCGTCACCGATGTTTTATGTCGGCCGTGAGCGGGGCGAGTGCGCCAACCGCTGCGCCACCGCTCCCAACTGAATGTGCACGCCACGCGCACACACACGTACGTACACACACGTACGTACACGCACACACACACGTACACGCACACACGTACACGCACACACGCACACGGACACACGTACACGCACACGCGCACACACGAGGCGTATCCCGAGAGTAAATACCTCCTCATAAGTTTTTTTTTTCCCGAAAACTGTTTTTAAATGTAAGCGACGCACAATCTCAGAGAGTAAGCAAGAGGCATCACCTGCGACGGTAATTCCCTCCGACGTGCGGAGTACATTTGTCGCAATTAAACGTAATTGGTTCAATTGTGGCCCATTTAAAATAATCACCGCACGTGTCGTAACAAAGTTAAAGAGGCATGGAACAATTCCGCGATTTAACGATGAAAACCCAACTCGATTATTACGATTGCTATAGATACACATCCCGTAATGTTGTGCGCGTGTCACCCTAAGTTACGTTACGATGTAAGCAAATTTTTTGCTAATATTACCGTTAGAGGCCGATGCGAACCCACGACACGGGACGAATGTGAAACGAAGGTGACGCGAAAATCGATAGATCATTGGCGGCGGGCAGTGAGCGTGGAGGGGAGCGGTGGCGCAGTGATTAGCACACGGCACTATGAAGCTGGCTAGATAAGTAAAATTCCCTGCAATGGCGAATATCAGTGGCGAGCGATATCTGAACCGGTCCTAGTCCCGACAGAACTGTACATTTTTAGCATCAGAATTAGAATATGTATTTATACTGGAGGAATCCGATGAGCTATAAAGCTCTTTTTACAGTGATAATACATTATATTACATTATATCATTACCATCGTTAAGTAGTAATCCACTGAAATAAGAAACGGGGGTTGTCCATAATGAGCTCAGCTTGGAATGTACCGGTTTGTTTGCTTCAAATATCTCAACTCGCAACCAGGGGCGGAGCCACAGGGGGGGGGGGGGCGGCTAGGTGGGGGGCTGGGGGGGTTTAGCCCCCCCTGAAATTTCGGGAAAGTCGGTAATCGGGACTACCGGAAATCCGGCTGCTGCAAAATGCTGCAGGCTGCCACCTCGTGCTGCCCTGCAGGCTGCCACCTTGTGTGCTGCCCTGCAGGCTGCCACCTTGTGTGCTGCCCTGCAGGCTGCCACCTTGTGTGCTGCCCTGCAGGCTGCCACCTTGTGTGCTGCCCTGCAGGCTGCCACCTTGTGTGCTGCCCTGCAGACTGCCACCTTGTGCTGCCACCTTGTGCTGCCCTGCAGGCTGCCACCTCGTGTTGCCACCTTGTGCTGCCCTGCAGGCTGCCACCTTGTGCTGCCACCTTGTGTGCTGCCCTGCAGGCTGCCACCTTGTGTGCTGCCCTGCAGGCTGCTTGAGCGGCAGCCTTTCGAACTTATCGAACTTATTAGCCAAATCAGCGGTTCAGACCTATTAATAAACTCCCCGTTCAGATCTAATTCAATTTATTTTATACATTTGTGGCGCACCATTGGAAAACATAAACACTGGATATCTCAGAATATTGAAGTCAGCCCCCCCCCCCCCCCAGTCAAAATCCTGGCTCCGCCCCTGCTCGCAACTCCAGCGCTGCGGAGAGGCGACGTTTGGTGGATCAGCCAGAGATACAGGGGGCACCACGGTGGCTAGGAGATGTTAACTACCTCGCAGAAAGGTATACGGGAGGTCGTGGGTTCGATCCCGACCCTGACGCCTGCTGTATATTTGGACTTTGCGTGTCTCTCTCCCCGTGGTCGCGTCGATTTTTATCGGGGTCTTCCGGTTCCCCCCCCCCCCTCCACATTAAAAAAAAAACATGCGGTTCAGAGTATATATGGGCTGCTCTAAATATCCACGTGATAAAGCACTTCGTTGAGCTATCATTTGTGGCCAGGTCGCTTTGGAAAAATAACCACGCAGCTCAGTGGGCCTTACCTGGTAAAACAAAACATCGTTTCGTTTGGATTTGTGAAATTCCCCCCCAAAAAAAACACAAAGTGGGTTGCGTTCATGGACCTCGTGTCTATATAGTGGCATCTACATAGTGCCATCCCCTCGCATGTACGCGCATACTCGATTTCTCCTGATTCATCAAATCGCTGCCAAAGAGCGTGACGTCAAAAGCACTCCTTAAATCAGACAATTAAACGATTGCGTAAAACGTCTCCATGCAGCAGGAAGGTTTTTTCGCCCGGGGTTAATAATTATGATTGGCATTTTAACCAGTCGCACGGGATGTGAGTAAAACAGGTGTCACCTCTTTTCAAGGTCTCGCACACGAACACGCACACTGCTGCTAGAGACGTTGTCGATAAGATGATGGCTGTATCAATTACGTGATAAACACAACGATATCATTAACAACAACAACAACAAAAATGAACTCCGTCGACAGAACATCACGCGTGAACTTAATTTCGAGAACATTTTCTCACATCACCTATTGAAAGCGCCCGATCTTTGAATCCAAGTTAATAACCCTACAAATACTTTCATGGGAGACCGCCTTGGGAAATACAATAATACATCGAAGGCTTGGGCAGCGAGGTGGCCAGACGGTGGCAGTAGAGCAAGCGGTTTCTTGAATCCATCGGTGCGGCGCTTTTGAGAGTTATCACCCCCCACCTCCCACCCCGCACCTTTGTATGTGTGGTGGACTTTGCTAGGTTTCCTCCCGCACGAAGCCAGACGCTCATGAACAACGCAGTTGGCCAAACATCCGAGATGTGGTAGGACCCCCTCTTGGAGAACGAGCCGAGATGCTCTGCGAGCCTCTCCATGGGTTCTTAAATAAAGGACGTTGTTATTTACTCTCTCGTCGTTATTCTTTTTACAATAAAACGGCATCACGTTATTAATGAACAATGTTACGTGTGTTCTTACATTCCACGTACAATGCAATGTTTACATCTTTCCGCAAGCTGTCTTAAACACACACGTATATTATATTTATAATACATAAATAACTGAATACAGCACACACACATATATATAATATACGTCACACACACACATATATAAATACAAATGCAAACAACTTCGCGAATTAATCGATTGGTTAGTGCGGGTGCACGGGAATGTTTCTCGTTCCTGTTGTTGATTTCCTTGGTAACTCGTGGAGGTTGTGAATAACAATGCCACCGTTCTTAACATCACACTCGTCTCACTCCCCCAAACGAGTCCAACGTTCCTACCAACGTCAACCCCCGACCTCATTCACACCAGTTCGACTCGAGACCCGGGCGAGACAGCTGAGTCTGTGACCGCCTCCGGAGAGGAATCGACCCCCGCCTCGGACGCCGGGCTGACTGTGGTAGACTCAGGCCCTCGCAAGCATCCGGCGTGTCCGGTGCGTTCGCCGCTCTCCGCAAGTCCCCCAAGGTCGTCCTCTCGTGCGCCGCTCTCTTGTCGCTCGTCGTCGTGACGATCGACTCGTCCACCACCTCGTGCTCCATCTCCACCACTGGGTCCACCACCGCGTTTCCCTCTCGCACTATAATCACCTCGTCCACCACTACCACCACCACCATCGCTCTCTCCTCGTCCCTCCCGATCATCACCGAGTCCACCACCACTTTCTGCACGTCTCCCATTTTCATCACCTAGTCCACCAAACGCACCGTCTCCTCTCCCACTATGATCATCATCATCCTCCTCATCATCATCATCCTCATCATCACGTAAACCACCACCACCGCTTTCCCTTTGTGCACCAGCTTCACCATCCCCAGGGCCACTCCCACCGCTCTCTCCTCGTCCGCCCTGATAATCACCTCGTCGACCAGCGCCCGCTCCTCGCCCTCCTCTCCCACTCTGATCGTCATCTCGTCCACCACCACCGCCATCATCACCACCGCTACCACCACCACCAGTTCCCCTCGCTGCACCACCGTCACCATCCCCCGGGCCACCACCGCCGCTCTCTCCCCGACCATCCCCTCGTCCACCCCCTCGTCCACCCTGATCGTCCACTCCACGTCCACCGCTCTCCACGCCTCCACCCTCGTCTCCGCGTTGCTGGACGCGAGCGCTGTGTTCCACGGCGCGCGCGCGCAGCGCGGCGATGCTGCTCTCCCTCCTCTCCTCGCGCCTCCACCTCTCGTCGCCCTCCCGCCTCGGCCCAGCCGGGGTCGGGGTATCCCCTCGCTCCCCTCGCTCCCCACGGTCCCCTCGGTCCCCTCGGTCGTCTCTATCCTCGCCGCCGCCGCCGCCACCGCCGGGCCCTCTGCCGCTCCTCCCCTTGGGGTGGTGGTGCTGATGATGATGGTGGTGGTGGTGGTGGCGACGCGGGTCGCCATCCGATCTCGCCACCGCTGCCATCGCCGCCGCCGCCGCCACCGCGGAGTGAGACGGGGGGCCCCGGGCGTCGCAGGGGTCTCCCGGGGGGCTCGGGACCCCGTCCCGCGCCACCTCGTATTTGCTGACCCCCTCCATGGATTTCCTGTGCATGGCTACACCACGAACCGCGCGCCACGGGGAGCGTGGCGTTAGTCCGGATCGGGACTCGAACCGCGGTACCCTCCAAGTCGTCGGCGACGACACTGGTGGAATTTTTCCACCCGAGATTTTGTTTTATTATTTCGTTCGCAGCCCCCTCTCAGTCCACGTGTCGACCCATGGAGCTGCGTATAACTGTGCAGCGGCGTGGCTTACGCTGACTCTCGCTCGTTTAAAAGGAGAACGGGAGCATGAGCGTAACGTCGATGTCGTACAAGTCGAGAGCCAGTCATATTTACACGTTGGTTTTACGCAGTGGTCACGCGGGTTTACGAAGTGCTCGAGAGGCCACTCTGCCGCCAGATCCAAGCTTCAATACTGACTCACCCACTCACTCATCCACTCACTCACTCACATACTCATCCACTCACTCATCCACTCACTCATCCACTCACTCACTCACATACTCATCCACTCACTCACATACTCACTCACATACTCATCCACTCATCCACTCACTCATCCACTCACTCACATACTCACCCACTTACTCACATACTCACTCACATTCTCACCCACTCACTCATCCACTCACTCACTCACTCACATACTCACCCACTCACTCATCCACTCACTCACATACTCACCCACTCACTCATTCACTCAATCACATACTCACCCACTCACTCATCCACTCACTCACTGACATACTCACCCACTCACTCATCCACTCACATACTCACCCACTCACTCATTCACTCAATCACTCACTCACTCATCCACTCACTCATTCACTCACTCACATACTCACCCACTCACTCATCCACTCACTCACATACCCACTCACTCACCCACTCACTCACATACTCACCCACTCACTCATTCACTCACTCACATACTAACCCACTCACTCATCCACTCACTCACCCACTCACTCATCCACTCACTCACTCACCCACTCACTCATCCACTCACTCACCCAATCACTCACCCACTCAGTCACTCACTCACCCACTCACTCACCCACCCACTCACCCACTCACTCGGTAAATTCTTCTATTCCTCTCCGCGTCTCTGCCCCTACACTAAGGACTCTGTGTACATTGACCGCGATGCATTTCTCAACGGGCGTTGAGCAACCAGGAAAATATTTGAGGATTGTTTCTAAACTGGCGGTGGCTTCAGTTTTTAACGGGTAAATGAATAAACAGAATTAAACATACTTGAATTTGAGTGGTGACACCCTAATGTTCACACGTATGCAAAAAAACATTCCACTATAATTTTCACGTAGAAAATTGGATGGAATAAAAAAAAATCCTCTCTGGGATTCTCTCACTAAATTACCCTAAAACTATCTTATTTTAGTTTTTGCTGTTGTTTTTTGCTCGAGTAAGTTTCGTTTAAAATGCGCGATTTTTTGTGTGTGGCCACTGCGCGTGTGCGTGTGATGATGATGATGTCATTGTCACGTGCGCACGCGTCACAAAGGGCACGTGTTCCTGCGTGTGATTTATAGCGACTGTCGACGGCGGCATCGACGGTGAATGTCGAATCTGCTTAATTGTTTTTTGCTGGCGAAAGGTCTGTTTATTGTGTAAAACAAAAGGGTAAAACAAAAAAATATATGTTAGTTATTGCCAGTACAATTATTTCTTTAAAATAAATAATGATATATCTTATTATAATTGTATTCTTATTTATATAGTACTTTAGATCAATAAACGTCTAAATCTTGATTTGAAGCTTTCGTGACTGCAGGAATTCATACTCTTTGGTTCTTGCGGTAAAGTCACGTGGACAGAAAAATAAAATAAATCACGACGTTTCGGGCGCAACACAAGCTGTCTATCATATATAGTTCCATGCCCAACTCGGGCACCTTTTCAGACACAATAAACGTCTTCTTTATTCATTGTCAGTGTATTCATGCATTATTTAGCCTGTTAGCTTCCTGTGTAAAATAATGGCAATGCATCCCAAGTTCGTTATACCTTGAAGCTTCTTTCTTAATTATCGAATAAAGGCATATCGCGGCATTACCGCAAGCACATTTTGCATCTCGATATTCTTGTGTATTGGCGGGGTGTGGGTAGGGGGATCATCTGAACGGATCAACCTGCCCGTGTACTTTGCGCGCGCGTGCGTGCGTGCGCGTGCGTGCGTGCGCGTGCGTGAGTGTGCGTGTGTGTGCGTGCGTGTGCGTGCGTGTGCGTACGTGTGCATGCATGTGTGTGCGTGCGTGCGTGTGTGCGTGCGTGTGTGTGCGTGCGTGTGTGCGTGCGTGTGTGCGTGTGTGCGTGCGTGCGCATACGTGTGCGTTCGTGTGTGCGTGCGTGCGTGTGTGTGTGCATGCGTGCGTGTGTGCGTGCGTGTGCGTGTGCGTACGTGTGCATGCGTGTGTGTGTGCGTGCGTGTGTGCGTCACGGTCACCCACCGAGGAGCCAGGGCGCGCACGAGTCCATGACCCCGTCCTTGGCGGAGTGCAGGATCGACTCCGGGAGTGGGATGGAGTGTCTCACCATGGCGCCGTACAGACCGTACTCGGCCATCACGCTGCTGCGGCCCCAGCACTTCTCTCTCTTGCGCCACTTGGCTCGGCGATTCTGAAACCACACCTGGCGCGACGTTTCATTATCATTATGTACATTATTACGTATTGGTATCATTAAAATCATTACATTATTATCATCATTATTAACGACATTTTCCTAATATCATCAGCTTATTGGAGAATATATTGAGTACATTGATTATATTGATGTACATTTTGATGTAAAAGCTTTCGTGACTGCAGGGATTCATAGTCTTGGTTCTTTCGGTAAAGTCACCAAGTAGAAGGGAAACAATAAAATGATAAAAATATCAAACAATAAAATTCCCTTCTACGTGACTTTACCGAAAGAACCAAGAATATATATTGATGTAGTTTATATTTAGTTCTTTCACATCGGTTTATTGTATGATAGTTGGGTAGTTGCAGTTATTTAGCGTCAATATACTAAATGCCTCTGTTGATATGTAAACTCTGACTTTAACATAGCCACTTCCGTGACCAGTTACATGCTAATTCCTCACACTAACATCATGCTAATCTCCCAGTTTCATGCTAATTTCTGACTTTAACACCCTGCTAATCCAACACATTAACACAGCTACTTCAATGCTAAATTATTCTGTTGATATGTAAACTCCTTTGTCAAGGCGCTCTGCTCCTCCCACCCAGCTTAAAAGACGCTGCCAAGCTTAGCAGTATTCATTGGAGCGCTGTCTTTCCAACAGTTCTGTTTCTTCACCTGTAGAAGGCTACTTGTGCTGTGGCCGAAACGTCGTGAGAAATGTATTTTATTATGTTTTATTTCTTATTATTTTATTATTTCCCTTCTACTTGGTGACTTTACCGAAAGAACCAAGAAGATGAATCCCTGCAGTCACGAAAGCTTTAAATCGAAATCATTAGAACCACTATTATATAATTATCATCATTATCAGCATTATTATATCATTATGTACATTATTACGTATTATATGATTGCGTCATGAAGATTGATCATATTATTATAATTATCATTATTATCATCATCATCATGATTATTACGCACGGTATTATGTACGACTGTTAATGATCGAGATCCCGTTGTTGCTCTGCAACGGAACATCAGACACACAGATGTCATCGTGTTGGCGTTCCCCCGCTCCTCCGATGAGCACGGTTGGCTACGTACGGTGCGAAAGAAGTTCAACATACAACGCTCTTCTCACTATCCGCCTGTACTTGGAGCACTAAAACGAATCTGCCTGCTTCTTTTTTTAACAGAGCAATAATACAAACGGCAAGATAATATGCATTGTGAGATATTTTTGTTAATACATCAAAGCTGTCAACCCGTACGGTTTACCCCGCATTCCTGTACAGGGAAATTGAGTTATTCAGGTACATACGACGTACAGCCGTTTCAATACGGGCACAAACTAATGATTTCGTCCATTTGTGTTTCTCCCTTGTGATGGGACTTTGTAGGATTGAACGTTACGATTCCTAAGGGCACGGAGTGACCAATGAGGTCTGAATTGGTCTGTAATAAGGTAGGGCACTGATGACGGGTTGACAGGTATGATATAGCCTGCATTCTCAAACTAAAGTATTCGATTTAAACGAAATCATCATAAATGACTGGACAGAGCCTGTTTGCTGTACTGCCCTCTGCTGGTCATCTCACGTGTCCGTGCGACGGGGTTTTTGTTATGGTTGCCGTTCAGGTGAGCGTGCACTCGTGCAAGTGAGGGATGCTTGAAATGCCCCAGTCTCGAGAGGGCAAGCAACTCGGAAGCTCGGGACAAACACAAACATGCACACGGTATCATCGTCAATCATCAGCCACGATTTATCCACTGCTGGATGAATGCCTACACCAGCGTCGCGCCCACCGTGATACGCGCAAAATAACAACAGCAAAACTCGACGCGTTCGTCCATAACACTGCACGTGGAAACATCTATAATAGGCGACGTTTCAAGCTGATGGGGTGGATAAGAAGTGTCGAAGAATGATGATAATTACATTATTACGAGAGATGTTTGTGTGTTTGTTCGAGAGCCGAGTCTTCCTTTGACCGGGGCGAATTCCCCACGAAATTAAACGAATGGCAATGAAGGACGAGAGCGGCGGGCCTCGTTAACGGCTTGGCCAAATGGGGTCCCTTGGCTTGGAATTCTACTCAATCAATCAAATAAATCAATCAAATAAATCATTTAAATCAATCAAAGTTCATCAGACGTCCGTTTCCTCTGACGCGTTTTCGGAACGCATTGAATGTGGTTGTCTCCGTGACAAACTGGACACCGCGTGGAGGGCGGTCCATGCCAATCTTCTTATCGTATCATCAACGCGCGTTTAGCAACAACATTTACACAAGCAAGTCAACTGCAATCGACGAATTTCAGCCAACTGATATTTTGTTGTGTGGATATTTATAAAACTACATTACGCAATTATATTACTACCTGGGATGGTAGTGATGATAAATATTACTATGTTGGGTTAATTTTGAATTATGAATTATAATCTAGATTTGAAGTTATGAATTATGGTTCGCTGATGAGTCCTATTCAGGACGATACTGGCCCACTGTAGTTCGGAATCAGAATCAGTATTGATACTGGAAGAATCCGATGAGCCATGAAGCTTTTTTTCGCTGATGTCCAGTTGTCTATCACTGCATCACTGCCGCTGCTGCCAGATTGTCACATTTGCTGAACGTTACAGTGATGACGATCTAAAAGAAGAGGACCACAATGCAGTTCTTCAGGAAATGCTGATCAAATCTAGATTGAAACGCTGATCGTTTTTGCATAATGCACAAAGGCTGTGTGCTTTTTTTACACGCGTCTCTGTGTTGTTTAAAACTGATGGATTATATATCGTCGAGCTCCCTATCATAATGTCCTTGAGATAATAATATTGATATTTTATCATGGGATACTATTTTGTTTTGAAACGATAATGCTGCAGCCACGGTGGCGAGATGTTTACTACCTCGCCCGGTATACACGGGGCTCGTGGGTTCGATCCCGACCCCAGCGGCTGTATATTTGGAGCTTGCACCTTCTCACCGTGGTCGCGTGGATTTTTCTGCGGGTCAGCCGGTTCAGAAACACGCGTTTACAGTATTTGTCTGAGCTATCATTTGTGATCGCTCAGTGGGCCTTACCTGGTAAAATAAAACTAATAATTTCGTTTTAGTTTAATTTGCTGCTGACGCTGCTGATAATGACGATATTGTACGCACACTAATAGCAACAACAACAACAATACAAATGTAATAATGTTAGTATTACATGAGTCGTTCTCTGAAAACATGTGGGGTGGAAGTGGTCTAGGGGTGAACGTGCTTCGCTACGAACCCGGCGATCTGAGTTCGATTCCTGCTCACGGCCAACACCAATAACGATTATCTGAACCGGTCCTGGGCCTCCCCTGGGTCGACTCAGACTCAAATGAGTACCTGGTGCGGTGTGTAAACATCGCCACTGGGGAGACAAAGGCGGTCGGGCGTGGTGTTGGCCACCCACCCTCTCGTACGCCGTGCCGGCCTTCATAGGTGCTCGCTAACAGCACTTGCCCCTACAGTCTGTTAGGGCTATACGGTGGGTCTTTGTTTGTTGTCACTGAAAAAATACTGTTTTGAGATTATGATATTCGGAACTATAGATCAGGCCGCCGCTGTTCCCGCTGATGTATACAAAGAATAACATGAATATATAATGAAACCTACATCACTCTGATTAATGCACTAATCTCACCACGGCACGCCCACAAAGAGACCAGCCACTCATCTCATACATCCACAGCACACACACATGCACACACACGCATGCACACACATACACACTGCACCCACCACAAAGACAAATACCCCCTCCCAGGGACTGTTAGGGTAAGTGCTGTTTGCGAGCACATATGAAGAAGGCCTGCACTGCACAACAAGGGAGCGGGTGGCCAACACCACTCCCGGCCGCCTTTGTCTCCCCAGTACTGATGGGTTGTGTTTAAACACACCACCGCCTCAAGTACTAATTTAAGGCTGAGTCGACCCAGGACACACACACACACACCATTCACCCGCCACGACACATAGAGCACACAAGTCACCAATCACAAAAGGCAAAGATCCCCCATATAGCCTTTTAACAAACTGTTGTTGGGGCAAGTGCTGTTTGCGAGTAGCACCTATGAAGACCGGCACGGTGCACGAGTGGGTGAGTGAGTGGGTGACACACGAGTGGGTGAGTGTGTGGGTGACACACGAGTGGGTGAGTGTGTGGGTGACACACGAGTGGGTGAGTGTGTGGGTGGCACACGAGTGGGTGAGTGTGTGGGTGACACACGAGTGGGTGAGTGTGTGGGTGACACACGAGTGGATGAGTGTGTGGGTGGCACACGAGTGGGTGAGTGTGTGGGTGGCACACGAGTGGGTGAGTGTGTGGGTGACACACGAGTGGGTTAGTGTGTGGGTGGTACACGAGTGGGTGAGTGTGTGGGTGACACACGAGTGGGTGAGTGTGTGAGTGCCACACGAGTGGGTGAGTGTGTGGGTGGCACACGAGTGGGTTAGTGTGTGGGTGGCACACGAGTGGGTGAGTGTGTGGGTGACACACGAGTGGGTGAGTGTGTGGGTGACACACGAGTGGGTGAGTGTGTGGGTGGCACACGAGTGGGTGAGTGAGTGGATGGCACACGAGTGGGTGAGTGTGTGGGTGACACACGAATGGGTGAGTGTGTGGGTGACACACGAGTGGGTGAGTGTGTGGGTGACACACGAGTGGATGAGTGTGTGGGTGACACACGAGTGGGTTAGTGTGTGGGTGGCACACGAGTGGGTGAGTGTGTGGGTGGCACACGAGTGGGTGAGTGTGTGGGTGACACACGAGTGGGTGAGTGTGTGGGTGACACACGAGTGGGTGAGTGTGTGGGTGACACACGAGTGGGTGAGTGTGTGGGTGACACACGAGTGGGTGAGTGTGTGGGTGACACACGAGTGGGTGAGTGGATGACACACGAGTGGGTGAGTGAGTGGGTGACACACGAGTGGGTGAGTGTGTGGGTGGCACACGAGTG